CCAATACAGATTGTGTGTTTTGGTCCCTTCACTTAGGGTCACAGAATGTATAACTTAATTACCCAAATACTTAAGTATCTCTCTGGTCAAACCAATAATATTCAAGCACAATGAAAAAGAAAACTAGTTATTCCATGTGATTCTACATAATTCTCAAAGAAAATTATGTTCATTCAACAGTGGCAAAAATGAATGCACTGAATGATGGATCCCATTCTTTATTTCCACCAAACACGTTAACAGCAGGTCAATGACACCTCTTTGACGTGGAGCGCTGACAAGACTTAATTAACTGGGTGTGAATTTATCTCAACTTGTCATGAGACTACATTTATTTTCAGCCAGTACCAACCAATCCTCTTAGGTATTTCTAAGTTATTTTGTACACAATTTTTACATGTTAAAAGACTAATAAATAACCTACAGTCCTAAATTGTAAAGATTATATGTAACACTTATGTAAAAAACCATGTCTTTTATTTAAAATAAAGTGTTTCCGACCAATGATTTAAATTGTATCTGCCTAATTTGTGGTTTTTACACATTTGTACATGAATAAGTTTCAATCAAACTCAAAACTAAATATGTCTAATATGTGTTATCTAAGCAGGGGATGGGAGAATGGAGAATCTTTATTTTTTTTCTTTTAAAAGAGTGTATTAAGCCACTTTTGTTTTGTTGTGTTTTGTTTGGCTTTTTTTTAGGATTCTATCTAAAGAAATAGAATGGTTACATAGACCATATGTAAGTATTATTATCTCTATCTACAAATGGTGAGCCAGGCTCTGAAAAATTTAAGAGTATCTCCAAACCAGAAAATAGAACAGAGACTCTTATCTAGATTCTCTATTCAAAATTTTGAATTATTTTCACCACACATATTATTACCTCTCTTAGTTGGAGTGAGTGGCTTTCAGTATCAGGGGGAAAAAAATACCAAAAAGAGGAGAAATACTCTTAGATAGTCTAAAGTTTAGAAAAGATACAGATTATTAAAAAATTTATTTTGGATAACTTCCACCTTTTCAATAAAAATCTGAGTGTCCACTGTATGCCAGGCACATGGGAGACAAAAATGAATAAAAGTCCTTACTCTAAATAAAGGAGCACGTAGTGTAGCACAGACATATTCAGCGACAATTACAATAAAATATTATGAATACAAGAACACTGACATACAGAGGATGTTGTCACCTATGCAAGCAAGAGCAAGGGTGCCAGCTTTGGGTGGCCAGAGTCAGAAAACATTTCATCTAATCAACAAACATTAGGCACTGTGCCAGAAGCTGGAGCAGCTAAATAAAACAGACCGGATCATAGCTCTCCTTGAACTTGCATTATAGAAGACACTATAAACAAGCAAATAAACGAGGTCATCCCATGTGATACTGGAATGAAATAGATCAACATACAGAGAAGACTAGGTCACTATCAATTGACATGTCAAGGAAGAACTCCCGTGAAAAAAAGGGGAAGACCTGAGACGTCAGGGATGTATACCATTTTAAATGGTTATTGTTTAGCCTTTGGGGGCAAAATCAGTATGTTTTTAAAAACTAAGTACCTTTATATTCTACATAAAGTTTACTTTACTTTCAGGTAATGGTGTCATTTCTCTAAAGCTCAAAACCTCTTGGTTGAAGTTTCATCATCACCCAGTTGAAAAAATAAAGATGAAAGAACACTTCTCCTTTCAATAAACAGAGCTGTTCTCAGCAGAAGGTAGCCTGGGGTAGCGGCGACAAGGTGCTGATGGCACTGAGGGCTGTCCTCACCTAGGCCAGCTCTCCTGGAAGTGCGCCGTCCGAAGGAGGGTGCGGTGCGCTCCGTGCAGGTGCTGGTGCAGGTGCCAGGTGCAGGCTGCCTCCTTGCCCTCGGAGCTCGAGCTCGGCCGCTCCTAACGCATCTGTCTCAGGCCCGCCCAGACCAGAAGGCTGCAGCCTCTGCCCTCCACCAGCAGCCTCCCACTTGGAAATGAAAAACCAATAGCCTAAGGCCCACCTCCTCCCACTTCCAAACACGTGTAACCACGAGCCTCTGGGATAGTCCTTGCAGATCTGGTGGCACGTGCCAAACGCGTGACGTCATACGTCACGCACAGGGCAGAGCCACGCCAGTTGGAGCCTGGGACAGACATTGGTCTCCAGGCGAAGGAAGGTGGGTCCTGAATTGCGTGTGTGGTATTGTAACACTCAGGACCTCTCAAAGGCCCCGGGATGTGGCGCAGGCTCCGAGGGGTTTTCTTGCCATCTCCTACAACTCATCCCTCAATTTTGGGAGTGCTTCTGGCCCTAGCAACTGAGATTTAAATGCGGACCCAGAGAACTGCGCTCCTAGCTTAAATTGGAGATCCTCTGGCCCCAGAGGTTTGGAGTTCAGTCTGTGGAGAAGAGTAAATGGGGCAAAATGTGGTTGATTTATTTGTGATGAAAACGAAGGCTCAAGAGACAAGGTCCTGCCATATATCATTTTGAACAAAAGGAATGATGGATTTAGGAAGCCCAAAAATAGTACCAGGGAGCAGAAATATTTAATCCTAAAAGCTAACACCTTTCAATTCTTGTCAATTCAGTGTCCCTTGTTTTTCAGAGGTTTATTCGCCCTCAAACCCTTTCTCCCAAAGTATCAAGTTTTTGTTAAAATTACACCAGCAGTAATTTTGGAAAATATCATCAAAAGTAATGTTGCATAATGTGATGCCAATAAGGGACCCCAGGATTAGAAGTTAAGAGACTTGGGATATTAGTGCCAGGCTTGATGTGGCCACCTGTAGAAACTACATTCCCTTGCCTCAAATTTATTGATCAGTAAAGTAAGGGAGTTGAAACAGAGCTCTTAAAAATTTTTTTGACCTTAGCAAAGGTCAAATTATCACAGATAGTCATGCAAATTTTTGCAACTGTAGTTTTGCCAGGATCACACCAGATATTAGGGACGCTTAGTACAGGGAACAAATCAAGGATAGACTTAGAGCATACTGGCAAGAAAAAAAAAATAGAAAAATTCTTAGTCAAAGCAGTATCTCTAAAATTTAGTTTATTAAATTTTTTTATTAACGTTTTTTATTTATTTTTGAGGGACAGAGAGAGACCGAGCACCAGCAGGGGAGGGGCAGAGGGGGGGGGCACACAGAGTGGGTTCCAGGCTCTGAGTTGTCAGCACAGAGCCAGACACCGGGCTCGAACCCACAAATGGTGAGATAGTGACCTGACCCAAAGTCAGATGTTTAACTGACTGAGCCACCCAGGCAGCCCTAAAATTTAGTTTATCAAACCATTTGGTTTAATGTAGTTGAATACAATTCAAAATTGACCCTTATTGGCTTGTATAAAGAGCAAATGCTGTCAGTTCTTTGGTTCTTAAAGAACAGTAGGAAGGTACATATTTAGATCTCCTGTTCCTTAGATCTCGCAACCTTCTTTTGTTACTTTGTTACTGACCAAAGTTTTCTCTTCCCTTTGTGGTCTCAGCTTTCTTACTTCCTACTTAGATTTGATTCTGGCCCTGTGCGGGTTTTTTTTTTTTTTTTTTTTTTTTT